AGTTAATGGTATTTTGGAGGATTTTCATGAATTTTTTAAAAGGCCTGCCCTGTTCACTTAAAAAAAAATGCACATGCACAATCCTGTACCCGAGAGGGATTGCTTATTAAATGCGTGTGAGAGCATGCATGAGCCCAATTCTTCTCGTAGACGCTCTGTTTAAAGGTTGCTGTTCACATAGCTAATACAAGCTTACTGTGACCGAGCATCCGCTCTAACCTCTAAATCCCTCAATTACTATATAGAGCAGGGACTACATAGTGGACTTTATAGTGAACTCAGTTAACTGACTGTTTGGTCAGATGATTACAACTTTTTACTACCTGTTGGTCACATAACTCCTCCTCCAACTCTGGTTAGCGACAGCCTATGGTGACAGCAGGCCACTGTGACAGCAAATCCCATGATGCTTTGCAAAGAGAGCTCTCCGTGCAAAGCATTCCGGGATATATTTGCCTCTTTTGAGGCCTTTCTTTTCTTCTCATTAACTCTAGAGACACTTTTTCTCTAACTACCCTCAGCCATTTTCAAAGAACCGCAGTGAGCTTCAATGACTGTCTGAAACTGTAGCTCACCACAGATATACACCTGAAAGTGAGCATGCCCAAAAAAAGAGTTGTCTTCCTTTTATGTTATGCTCATGAATATTTAGATGAGCTGTGCGCTGATTGGTTGGTTTACAACGAGCGAAGCTGCTGAGCAAAGACGCATCATAGCAACAAGCACTCACTCACTGAAAAATCTAATTGTTATTATAGTAGTGTGAACAGAAGATTTCTTTTTCATGTCCTACTTTTCATAACTAAAAAAAATGTCCAGGGGGAATTTCAAAATCATCCAGGATTTTGGTCTACTACTGTGCAGCAGAACCAAGCCGTGAGCTCCTGGGCTGGTCCGGGGCAGGAAGCCAGCGGGGTACGGAGCGACTGTACCCGACCCGATGACGTTAGCCTGGACAATAGCGGCCCCCTGCTTCCTCCCACCTACCTTACCGTGCTTCCCCCTGCCTGCCTTACCGTAACCAGTTCAGGTTCGGACCACCCGCAGAGCTGATGGCTTGGTTTGAATACCCGGTCCGGTCCAGTCAGTGACTGGCTCATTTTCAATAGAGAAACTGCCTGCTTTGTAATTCTTGTAAAAGTAAACCCCACTGCAGGCTAAACAGCTAAACTGGTGTCTTACATCTACCCCTATTGATGTTCTTGGGCCAGTGAACCGGTGGGCTGGTCTGTATGTCAATTTCGAGGTGTGACAAAAGTACAGGGCAGAACCAAATAAGGCAACATCCCGGAATTGACGTAAATTCGGTGCTTTGTTTGAATTTGCCCGTTTTATGGTGGAAGTTTAGAATTGAGAGATTTGCAGAGAAAGGAGGTGTTGATGGGATTTGAACTTCTCTTTACGTCCATTTCATCCACTTAACTACTGTTATTCATCTATGACAGTGTAAACTCAGTTTTGCATTCTATGACCCCTTTAATAACTTTGTAGGATTTAATACCAAGTCATGTAGAAAAGGAGTGTGGCTTCTATAGTGAGAAAATATGTATTTATATTTGGAAAATACAAGTCGTTTGTTTGTTAATTTTCCTGTTGAAACAGTGTAGATGACCCGTTCTTGCACTTATCTGCCTCAACCACACCTCCACGCACATGTTCCCTGCATGGCCACCCATATAAAAAGTTTAAAGTTTCTGGCTACTCCACTGATTAACAATCTAATATCAGTTTACAGAGTTATGCAGCTTTGTAAAGGGCAGAATGATAATAGAATTAAATTGTAATCAGTATAAGCTAATTTAGTTTCCACATTACTAAATTTAGCAGGTTTATTTTGTACCACAATACTCTATACAGCTCATTCAACATATTCATAAATGTAACAATCATGATCATAATTTTAATGACAGAATATAAATTTTTTTTGTTAAGGGTCATCCATCCGTCCATCCATCCATCCATCCATCCATCCATCCATCCATCCATCCATCCATCCATCCATCCATCCATCCATCCATCCATTCATCCATCCATCATTCCATCCATCCATCCATCCATCCATCCATCCATCCATCCATCCATCCATCCATCCATCCATCCATCCATCCATCCATCCATCCATCCATCCATTCATCTTCTCCCACTCATTCCGTCGGGGTCGTGGTAGGGCCGGTGCTTATCTCTAGCAGTATGTGGGCAAAAGATGGGTTACACCTTAGACAGGTTGCTAGTCTGTGTCATGCCAATGTACACCATATTCCTTTTTTTTTTGTGGCCTGATATTTTTCTTCCCTGTAATTGCAATATTTTCACTAAAGGAAATACTAATACAAGAATCCAACGGTGGCACCAGTATCAAGGTATAATATGTTGTAAAATCTTTCATCATTTCCTTCTGTTTTGAGCCCTTTCAGTGAGATGCTGGAAATGGAACAAAAAGTAAGCAGTCAAACATTGCTCACCCTCTTGGGTGAAAGAAGGATTCTTGCCCTTGCTACAACAAAGACATGTTTGACTGTGAAAAAATCCTGTAAAAGAAAATTCCTGTAAAAGGGATAGCAGTGTATGGCAAGTTAAGAACTGTCAAACACCAGTATTATCAAAGGGTTGGCATCATTATTTCAACCACTGTTCCTGTTGTAACAGAAAGCTCTGTTTTACATCTTTAAGCTTTTTCTCACGGTCCTTTCCTCAGAAGAGATCACTTGAAACAAACACTTTAATAAATACTTTATGTGGATCATGTATTAAATGACTGAAAAAAAAACATGACAACAGATTTAGACAGAAACTGTAATCTTACTCTAACCAGAGAAATTGCTCAGTTTACAAATGGCAGCGCTTACCACCGGGCTCACTTCTTCAGAAATTCGGCCCAGAATAACAGCTGAAAAAGCATCTTATACCTCCTCAGGGTCTCCCCCCTGCCACATCAACACATGTCAGATCATTACATCATACACGTTTGTAAATAAGGAGACATCAATGGCTCCAGCCATATCAAGATAACACACAGTGTTCTAAATCCATTCCGAATGCACAGTCAAAGAGTTAAGAATTATCCACTCTGTCTGTGCCCACATTTCTTTTCCAAATCTTTGTTATGAACATATTGAAGATGATAACTTTTATCCTGACTGAAGAACTGTCTTAATTAGATGAACTGCAGGGGAAAACATAAGCCCTAAGATGTAACAGGCAGGTATTATTAAGGTTTAAAAAGAACATACATACATAACAGAAAACATTCCTGAAACTTTATAATTGTATGCAAGCTTGAAGTTAAGAAAGATAAATTCATTGCACGGACCAAAAACAAACATGGAAAAAGACTGAGGCAGAAGCAGTCTACATTAACATGGAAAAGTTCCAAATGCTGTAGTTAAGCTCAGAAAACTCTGCCGTTAATGCATAGGAAGGGTCACTGAAGGCAGAACTAGCAACAGCAGAGTCCTTAGCTCAAATTTGAGATCATAATCAAGGATTTATTGAATGATTTATCAAGTGATAGGGAGGCTCTTTGTTAAATGTGTTGACTGTGTCTATACTATGCATAGTGATTACATGCAAAAGGTAGTTCAAATCTAACTTAATTTTACATAGTTGTTTAAAAAACAGAGGAGATCTGACTGTATGATCTGGATAATTTGTCTCTGTAAAGTGCATTGTGCAAGTGAATTGGCATTAAATGGATAAACTGAATTGAATTTAATGTTTTGTATCGATAGTATGTATATAAATGTATATAAAATGTAAATGTATATAATGACAACTGAGAAAATACTTTCTTACATATAAAACAACCACAAGAATAAAACCTATCCACCTCATAAACAAGTGAATGTTAAACAAAGATGTTTTTCTCTATGATTTATGAAGGAATAATTTCATTGGATTTCCAAGGTGTGCATAACTAAGAGTATACACTTAGACACTTCAGTTCAAAGAACACAGGATAGCTTACAGTACGTCTCATCCCATGGGGTTCGAGTTTGGTTTAAAAAACGTGTAACTGTCCATGTCTGCAACTTAACAAGGACCAATATCCAGTAGCACGGAAAACATTTTAAGGATGAAGAGTAAACCTAAATAAGTTATGTGTTATATCTTTTTTATATGGTGCTTGTGCAACCCCCTTTCTTATGATGCCTTTGCCAACTCTCCACATGGCCAGTGTCAAATTCCTCTTCCTCCAGGTTTTCGCTTTTCTTTCCCTTAAATCAAAGATTTTACAAAATGTTTTTTTAATAGGTAGAGTCTTCTTCCATGGATGTCACCCATTACAAACTGCAGATTAAGAGAGAAGTGGCCACAAAAACCCTCAGTTAAAGTGTGCTTTAAACTTTTTATTTGAGTCATTTTTTTTTCATGTATAGGCTTCCTTTTATTTATATGTGTTTCTTACTTTCAAAGTCTGTCAATCAAAACACATTTCCTTTTTAAAGGAAGGGCTGATTTTTACCCCCCAGCAGAAAAACAAAACAAAAAACAATGCTTATCTGTAAAGAAGTCAAGTTAGAGAAGATATACTTACTAATTATTGAGGTAAGAGCTCTTTCATTCTTTTCGCTTTGAAGAACATGATAGAAAATTACTGCATTTAGAACATTTATATTCTATGCCAATGTAGATAAGTCCAAATAACAATGAAGAATATAACCAAAATAATCAATGATTTTAATGTTATCAAAACAATGTTTGCTTTTCCATTTAAGAGTAAAGAAAAAAATACAATAAAATTATTACATTTTATTCTAATACTGTGCAATCTTTAGATGTATGAATCTCTTATATCTCTTGAAGTAGACAGCAGTATCAGATCAACAGGATTAGATTCCACAGGTGGAGAGACCGGACCTGAGCATCGTCGCTCCCTGCACGCACATGGAGGGCTGCGGCGGTGAATCATAGCTCCCCGGCTGACGGAGACCGAGGGGCGGCTCGGCTCGCTCCAGCCCGCCCCGTGGGTGTGTTCAAGGCAAACGGCCTCCGCATCCACCTGCTAGCGCCCTGCCTTTCTCCACAGTCACAGGAGCTCCTAACTTTTCAGGGCAGCAGCACGCGTCGCGCGCGCTCTCGGACCTTATCTCACACTGCGGAGACTTCTTCTTGTTTTCCTTTCTGCTTGTTTTTCTTTTCCACTTCTCCCACGAGATGTTGGCTGCGCTCGTGCGAGGAGAGCATGTTTTGGCCTCACACTGCCGGACAATTAATAATTAGGGGAACATTGTATTTTCTCTTTGCCTGACTGATCACTGTCAACTCCGGGGCCAACACACGCGCTCTGTGCGCAGGTACTCAGACGGCCCCTGCACCGCAGCCCTGAGCTGAACACTGACTGCTGAAGAGTCGCGCAGGGATTTTCTATTATTATTGATTTCAGCTTAGAGAGAAACACACACAGAGTGATCGATCTGTTGGGATTGGTTTTTCCAGTGGCTTGCAGGGTTGGATCTGAACTTGGATTACGGAAAGCTCTGAGGTAAGACTGATTTTACTTCTACTCACTATTTTTTTAATGGTTATACTCTTAAGTATTATATAAATAATAATAATAATAATAATAAACTGCCAGATTTGTTAACCATTTCGTGATCTTGTCAGTGTTTTTTTCTCTCAAAATTTTATTTAAAAATCAAACGTTTAAATTGGTGAAAGGCATTAAGATGTAGCCTATTTCTGAATTAATTCCTCTTCGATAAATTCCTAATATTTGTTTAACAGCTAAGCAGTTTATTGTGCGCTCTAATTCCTCGCCAGACTGTTTACAGTTCTGCCTCCCAAGTGTAGCCAAGGCTTCCAGTCTGTCACACACTGATTTCAGTCTACAGCTTTTATTTCTCGGGAACACTGAAATATCCCGCCTAGATTTCTCTGTTCTTTTCTATTTTCATTTGCAAACTACATGCTTTGAATTATCCCTTAACCAATCTTCTGATTAGATAATCATTTTAGTTATTTTAATGAAAAAAGGAAACACTTGTCAAAATCCATATGACAAATTAATCCTGAAATGTGCCTTTTGTAAACTTAAGAGGCTATTTTCCAAGTGATGAGCACTGATTAGGCTTTTGGGATTTATGATTTTTTTAAGGTTTAAGTCAGATTTTTTTCTGCAGTTTAAGATACATTAAACGAAAAAAATGCGCTACAGGTTTCTAGAAAAATGATTAAACAACTCTCTGTTACCTTCTGTATAACTTTTTTTTTTTAATAAACTAAACAATGTGCAAGAAAATGCCTGTTATTTCATTTAGAGACAGAGAATGTTGGGAGTTTTTAGTAGTGATGCATTTAGTATTTTTGGTGAGCTGATCCAAAATAGCTGATTCTGATCTGGTGCTGATTGATTGTTGTGTCTGCAATATAATACACAAGTGTGTCCTTCTCACAAGCCACAATGTCGTTTCAGTGCTGGGGCTTGTTTGATGTTGTGTGCTTGTGCACATAAAGACTTGGCCTCTGTCTCAGAATAAACAGCTGGACGGTTAACAAATTGTCTGTAAACAGTTGAGGTTTAAACAGCTGCAGCATGCTCATAAATTGGCCATGGGCTCATAGACCTCTGAGGATCTTTATGAAGGTGGGTCCAAATAGTTGGGGGGGCTGGATGAACCCAATTTGCCCCAGCCCTTAAAAAGTGTAATCAGTGAGAGGAATGAGGTCTTTCTGTTGATTTATGATTTATGAATCATCAGCAATTACCCCTGGTGTCCATTAATCATTCACTTAAGATGGATGCTCCCTCTGCATTGTTTTCAAGAATGTGAAGCTGCTCGACTAAATGCTTTCATCATTTATAAACACCTAACAAATTCTTTTTGCAACAATTGAGATTTATCGTCCAAATTGCATCAATCAGAATATTTTATTTTATATCTATGGGGTGAGTATAGTCATAACCTGACATTAGGTGAATTCTTAATCACAGGGCAGGAGCAGTAGCACACGTGTGCTGTCATGAGGTAGGAATGTCTTCTGGTTGAAGCAGGAGAAAAGGGCTTCTCCCAGGAGAGTTGGCACACTCTCTCCTCCAGTTTGTCACACTCTGGAAAACAAACATAATTTTTCCCAAATGGAAGCCTGTGCACATCGCTAAAAACTTGGCTCCTCTTTGTCAGGGCTCATCAGTTTTTATGGTGCCTTGAAGAAAATCTGGGCGTTATTCCTGCACCTCAGCTCTCACTGCCGCCCTAAACAACAGTCATGGGGCCCTTGGGAACCGCTGGTTTGACACGTCGCATAAATTGATAAATGAAACCAGACTTTCTGTCTATGATGTTTTGTTTTTTTACTTTTATGAAACATTTGCACCAGTATCTTCTTTTCACCTGTTTGTGTGTTTGTCTTTGCAGATTTTAAGAAAAAGGGGGCTGTTGGAGGTTTTCTTCACCATGAAGCTGGATGCTATGTGGACCCTGCTCATCCTCCTGGGACTGTCCAGCTTGACCTCGGGGAATACAATCAGCAGCAATGAAGTGGTTGCTGCTCCTCGAGTCTTCATCTCCTTTAAAGGTTAGAACTGAGAGTTTTTTCTCCACATGTGCTTGCTTTAGATACATAGCCATAGAAACATATTTATAATTGATAAATCTTATACATTCTGTTACCTGACAATTACAGATGTTATGGGAGTTATAAGTAATTGATATCTGTAAGGTGAAAGAACATTTACAGTTTTAGAATTTCTATCAGTATTAAGATTAAAAAGTAGATTTTCAGTGTATACTGACCAAACTAAGTACAACTTCTGAAGAAAAGCATCCCCAGAGTATGACGGTACCACCATTGTGTTTCAGCCTTTTAGTTTTGTGCAGTTCTCGTCTTCTACAACTTTTTACTTCTGCATTTGGACACCCTTTCGCTGGCTGTTTTGTATCCACCAAAACGTAAATGTTTGGACAAATAAAAGCTGTACTTCAGCAGATCTTGCCACGTGAGATGTGGATCTCGGCTTCTCCAAATAACCATGTACCTCATATATGCGACTCTCATTGCTGCTCTCCTCATCAGCCTTTGATTGTAGATAAATAGCCATGTCTTGGTGAGGTTAGACATTTTTCATACACTTTGCATGTCCAGATGAATGATTAGAGTGTGAGATGGTCAGAGCTTTGATTATAGTTGTGGAACCTAGGTCTGCTCTAAAAATCTCTGTGCTCCTCTTTGGTTCTGAAGAAAACTTGTTTTACTGTGTTTTATTTAGAGGCTTCAGAGTAAAGAAAGTTGAATACAAATGCATGTTAAACTTTTAGAGAAATTATTTTTATCTGTTTTTTATTTTCCTTTACTTGCACTACTTAGGGGTTTGTCTCTAAAACAAAATTCGCAATTAAATACATTGGAATTTGCTGTTGTAAAAATAATAAAATGTAAAAAAGATAAATCAATTTGTAGTATGCAATATTTTTTTCATGCTTTGCCAACTTGTAGCTGGTTGAATAATTAGCCATATGACTATTTCCTAACTACAGAGACTTTGGCTTTAATAAGTTGGGAGGAGTTTTGCACCGGAAGAGTGTGTAACGCCTCACCAGAGCAACACTGAGAAGACCGCAAACAAATCATGAAATTCCTGTATGCCCCCCGCCCCATCATCTGTCCCCCTCCCTCTCAGACCTCAGGCTCTGTAATAACCACCAGATGCTTCCAATGGCTTATATTACACAATTAAAAGACACAAACAGTGACTGAGCAGGGACAAAAGGGGTTCTGTATCCCGAATTCTCTCCTTCAAAGAATATTCATGACTATTGTTTTTCTTGATTAAATACAGTACCCTTGCACAACCCAGAATTTGTACAACAAAGGTTGACAGGACAGCAAGGAGTGTTCAATGACCTGCTGGGCCCTATGTGTTTCTTTCTGGGTCAGGCAAATGTGTACTCTATGTCAGAGCGGGTGTGTGTTTCACTGGATGCCCAGATTAGAAAAGATGGTTTCTTTGGGATTTTTAAGGGATGCCAGAGCGGAAGGCGGCATTATCAAGAGCAAACTGCCGGGATCCGTCGAGCAGAGCGTTGTCCCCGGGGCCCCATCCTGCTCGCAGATCTAGCTTTTGATTAGCATCCAGAGCAAAAAGCAGGAGCACCCTGTTTGCTTTGCTCTCCGTTCCCAGCGCTCCCTCGGTAGCGCAAGTTGACTTAATTAAGTGGACTGGCATGGTTCATTGTTAAAGGCGTTTTCCTGCTTTAATCAAGTGGGATTTAACACTTCAGTGAGCCCACATCCAGAGCTCAGCAGAATTAGGAAAAAAATGTCCAGATATTATTTCCGCTTAATGCAGTGTTTATCTTTCAGGGGAGGTCCAATTGTCCTTTTCGCTTTAATCTAGAAGGCGTCTGATTAAAGGATTTGCAGTATTGGTTGATGTCTGAACTCATCCTGATTATATCTGAAAGAAACAGCAGACTACAGTGGAGGACCAAAGAAGGAAAAAAAGCTTTACTCTGCTCCTTACCTGAGTCTGTTTGCCTCTCCAGTCAATATGAATTTCACAGTCTACTGCTGCTGTCTCTCAGAGGAATACTCCCTGCTTTCCATTCAATAATATGACTCTCTCTCCCTTAATTGCTTTTTGAGAGGCCCGTATTGTTCTTAGCTTGGCAAGCTTTCTGCACTTTCCCTTATGCAACCTTGATGTGTTAGGTTCGGTTTGATTTTCCCTTTTTGCTTAAGTTTGCCTCCAAGCTGCAGCCCTAATGCAGCAAATCATGAAGACAGATCCCCCTCGTATTGAGGAATTTACTTAAAAATGTTAATCTAGCAATACATCATTCCTAATCCTTCAAAAAATATATATATTTCTTTTCACTCATTTAGACTAAAGTAAAAATTTTATTAGAATCTGCTACATTTGATAGCTATCTTATATATGTGCTTATTTCACGTTATGACATTTTGATATTTTGTGCACATGTGGCTAGCCTGCAGCTGGCTGCTTAACAGACATGCAATCAAGGTTTTCAAACAATATTTGCTTAGAGCAATTAGAGGGCTATTAGTATTCACCTTGACTATGTACATTTATTTGTCACTATTAATATTTCATTTGAATTTTAATTCTTGTAAGCAACGAATAAGTGTACTCGCTTTTTTTAGTAAACTAACCACCCTTGCACGGCAACAGGTGTGTGAGGGGTAATTGTGCTTTAATACTTGCTACATTCATCTGGTGGAGATGCACATTAATCAAGCAGTTTCATCATCATCTCAATAAAAGGACTTCAATTGTCCTAGATTGTTTACTGTTATGAAGGTGTGTGCAGGATTTAAAAAGCTTTAAAACCACATAATAATAATTTCAGTAAGATCACAGAGAAAGTTCTGGAGGGACCAATATAATTGAGTAGAGCAACCCTGGACCCTGCCAGCAGAAGAAAACTACCCAACATTGTTAAAATTGGCAAAGCAGTGTTTAATGGCCATCTGCAGGCTGGCTACTTGTAAGTCAGGCTAAATAACCAGCAAATATCAGCTTGACATACTGCATGTATTGCTGTATACAACCCAAAAAGGTATTTTATGTAGAGGGTATAAATCCTGTATTTTTATTTCAATGTTTTCCAGTAAATCCGCAATATCAATAAACAAGGGTTTATTATGAAATTACGTGTCAATATTATGAAACTTTGGTACTTGTCACTTAAAGTCTTTATGCTATGAAAATCTGACATAAGCCAATCCCTCTCTGTGATTTTAAAGCTGCTCATGCAAGTTCATTAGTTTGCCATCTATTAGCATTGGTTTTTGCTCATAGAGAGAAGTCTGTTGTTACAATAAAACCTGCACGATCCACTTAGTGTTGTTTTTCAACACATGTTCCAAACTGATTAATTCGGTAGCTGAGGAGTGAGGTTAAGAACCATGACCTCCATCTGGGCGGCACTCACTTTCCTATTAAAGCAGGCAAAGTAAATCATGAAGCCTAATTGCTTTGCCTTAACTGCACGTTGTCTGCTCAGCTTTTATGACAGGAAAACACCTTCTATTATTTGAATAAAGCCCATAAACCCTCAGTCAACATAGGAAATTGCAAACAAATGTGCTTGTTTCTGCCCATTTTATGAGATTTAGTTTTTGGAAAAATAAAATGTAGTTTGGAAGTAGATTTTTGTCAGGTCTATGATATCCTCTGTTCTAATAATCTGAGAATAAAGGACAAAAGTAGAGGGGGGGGAAAGAAGGATTGGTATAAATCAATGTCATGAGACCAAGCAGAGATTTTCAAATAAACAGCAAGAGGGAGTGCAGCAAACTCACCATGCATAATTGGGGGACTTTTTAAGGTTAGCATAGACAGGACTACTGTCGCCAGGAAACCCCCTGAGAGGCTCCTGTTAAAAGCCCATGTGAATCAGCTGAATTGTAACTCTCTGTTTCTTAAAAAAAGAGAGTTTAAAACATTGAAAAGTAATGCTTCATCTAAATTATTCTTATTAGGAGAATTTCTGAAAAAGTAAACTGCTTGACTGCTGTTCTTTGTACCTCAAGCATTGTGTATTTAAGGGTTTCTATATACACTTAAAAAACCCAGTTAAATCCTTCTGCAGTGTCAGTCATGATGTGTTTGGCATGCTGGGGGCTGCAACTAACATAGGGATCATCTTGTGAGCTCCCACACTAATTAATAACTTTGTGTTGTTTCCTGCTGGTTTAACCAACCTCAGTTTCTAAAACTGAACAGCCAGGATGAGGAATTTTACACACAAGTAAACTGATTAGCGGTTACCCTTTTATATGTGTTTATTTATTTGTTTGTTGTAATAAATACGCTATTTGTTGCTCAATGCATAAAAACCCTGACATACAGTTTTTGTTGTCCATTAGTGTTCTGTGCCCAGGAACCATTGCTTTGGAGAACCACATGTTGCTGTAGAAAGAATTGCAAGTGTTTTGCGTATTTGATTTGAACAACTTTTCACATCTTGAGATGGAAAGCTCAGTCAGACTAAATGGGAATATATAAACCAGCTGTGTCCTGACTTTATATTATGTGGGAGAAAAACATCAGATTAAAAGTACACCCACTCTAAAAAATTATTTCTTGTACTGAAATGGAAACATAAAACATAATGTATTTTTTTCTGTTAATTACCTTCTCAATAACTCAAAATACAACATTTTAGTTAAATAAATTAACTGGTTGTGATTTGTTAGAAAGCAATATTGAAATCAACAAAGATCCAAAATGTAGAATGGGTTTGCCTTTTTAAAAGAAAGGCATGCAGTTAGAAAATTGGTCCAGTGAATAAAATAAAAATTTCCATCAGCATTGACAATCATAGCTGCAGCACTAATTTCGTATCTGTAATAGGGGGGCATAGGAAGTCAGTTCAAGGGTTATAAATGTCCCAACGTTGACACATTGTCAGTCTCTGATCTACACCTTTCCTATGTAGCTCTAGCTTTTGTTCGTAATTTATTTACTATAGCTTGAAAACAGGGTTAAAACACTTTACATTGAGGTGATTTTTCTTTGATTCTCTGTGTTTTACACTGAAACTGAGTTGTCG